TCTGCAAAACGGTCCCATTTTTGGTCAAAAAAGGGCATGCATAGCCTTTAGGAGGCTTCCAGAATGCTCCTGGGGCTAGGGAGGGCAAAAATGAGTGAAAAACAGGTTGGTTTTGCTAGTTTTTGCTCCCCCAGAAGCACTCTATAAGCCTCCTAAAGGCTATGCATGCCCTTTTTTGACCAAAAATGGGACCGTTTTGCAGAGTGCTAAAACTTTTTATTTGCCTCTTCAAAATCTTGGTGCATCTTATACTCCGAAAAATACGGTATCTTTTCTGCGTCTATGTTTTCATGGAGCGGAACAGAGCTTTCTAGGTCCAACCAGGTGCCCCAGCTGTCTCCTGGCTTGGGCAGGGCAGCGCCCCAAGGAAAGGCAGCTAAAGGAGAAGCCTGCTGGACTGTGCCAGGGTTAAAAGCTGCTCCTGCTCTATTGAGACTGGCTACGCGGGGATGAATGCTGTCTCCTAGTGGCATTTTCTCAGCTGGGTCTCAATTAGTCCTGAACGACAGTGAGGGATTTGGACACTGGAGAGTGAGTCCCAAGGAATGCTGGTTTTATGGCTCCTGTCCAAAGGTAGTTTTCACACCTTCCCTACCAGTTCGCAAATGTGTGTGTGCGCTTTGCTCAAAAACCCATCCTCTGAATAGGACGAAATAGAACCAGATTTCCACGACCGCCTCTGGCAAACCGTTCCGAACCGTTAGAATACCACCTCTGCTCCTGTCCTATCCACTCTCTGGGAATGAACACCGCTGCTTCTCCGAGTGAGCTGAAGTGGGAATTGGTGCCCTGAGGCCCTTCCCCGGGTCCCAGGCTGGCGTCTTGTCTGGGCTGAAAATGCCCTGTACGGAGAGGTCTCGGCCCCCACCCACCCGGAAGCCAATCCGACATTTGGGGTACCTAGTAGCCCTCCATTCTGCTGTGCACTCTGGGGTCTCCCAAGGCAGCTCAGGTCTGGGAAAGGAAATCCTTTCTCCCTGCCAGCAGCCCCTAAGTTGGATTGGATGTCCTCAAATACCTTGGGCTTCCACCCCGCAATAGAAGAGAAAACCCATGAAGGAAGGAGAGGGTGACTCAAGCAGCCGCAGGCTATTCCGATCTGCCTGGCTCCTCTTGGGACAGATAATGTTGGCGCCTGGCACGCAGGCCGCTCTGTCCAGGCTGGAGTCGTAGGTGCCTCGGAGGTTAGCTGGCCAGGCCGAGTGGGCCAGGGTCCTCCTCCGTTGCATGCTGGCCCCCTCCCTCTCCTCCCAGGGTTGACCTTTCCGCTGTTCCACCGGCTTTCTTTTTATTTCCTGCTGCTTCTCGTTGTTGAAGGGAGGATTCAGACCTATCCAGGTAACTTTCACTACTGGCTCTGCATGGCCCAACTGTCTCTTTGCTCTCATCACCACCCCCTCATTAACAGTCGGATGTTTTAATGCTTGCACCTTCGCACACGGGAGAGTCTACACCAGAGGTCGGCAACCTTAAACACTCCAAAGAACCACAAAGATCTTAAACAGAAGCTCCCCATCTCCTCCTAGCGCAGTGTCCCTTTTTTCTCTACCTGTCCTAACCAAAAACCCTATCAATTGTGGAACCGACAGGCAACAGGGAGCTGCAGCAGAGGGATGAAAGAGCCACATGCGGCTCCAGAGCCACATGCGGCTCCAGAGCCGTGGGTTGCCGACCCCTACACGTTAAAAATGACACCACCTTGCCATCTTTACCCAGAGCTCTGGGCCCTCCTGCCGATAGTCTTGGGGGACAAGAATGAGACATTATTTAAAGCCAGGTTGCTACCTTTTCTTTTTAATTTTTACACGAGGAGGACCAGCACTTTCCCATGGTAAACTCGGAGAAGGTTCCACCTGCCGCCCGTCTCTGGATGGCCGTGCGGGGGCCTTGTGGGCCTTGTTTGCAGCCTCCATTTGGCTTTGGGAGCAGGACTTTCCAGAAACGGGGGCCCACCTAGCTTTCAGTTGGGAGCCCGGAGGGTCTTTCTGGTGCCAGTGATCCACTAACCCACCAGGTTCCTTGCTTCCCTCCCCCTCTCCCCCCAGTTTTTCCAGAGGCCTCAAATCCAGCCCCCTCGAGCTACGATCCAGAACAGCAGCCCCTCTCTCCGCCCAGGCGCACAAACCCCTACGGCTGTCTATCAGGCCAATCAGCACATCATGATGGTCAACCACCTCCCGATACCCTATCCGATGCCTCAGGGCCCCCAGTACTGTATTCCACAGGTAAGGTTGCTGCCGCCCGCTTCTGCTGGGGTGAGGTGAGGTGAAGTGGGGAGCACTGTGCTGTGGGCTGTCCTTGCTCCCCCTCCCCCTTCCGTAGTATTTGCCAGTTTTTAAGCTTTGGCTGGAAGGAACGCCACCCTTGGAAAAGCTGCGGCAGGCGTCTTCACCTGGTGGGCACCACAAGCCCTCTCTGCTCCTGCCAGGGAGGGGGCTGAGTTTTCATGGCTTGTTTCTGATTGGGGGGGGCGTGGTTATAGGAAGGTAGAACTTGCCCTCTGGTGCTTTCCAGCCAGAGGCCTGCTTTGCTTCCTCCCTAGAGAGAGAGGGGCGGGCGTTTTCTCCTTTCTCACTGCTGTTTTTCCCTCTTCTCTCCTTATGCCTGATGCCGTTCCTTCTGCAGTATCGGCATAGCGGTCCTCCTTACGTGGGCCCCCCACAACAGTATCCTGTTCAGCCCCCAGGGCCTGGCCCCTTTTATCCAGGACCGGGGCCTGGAGAATTCCCCAACGCCTATGGTAAGATCAGGGGTTGGGCTTCAAAAACTGCAGCAACGGGTTCGCTGCCCCGTTGCTGGGTGGGCATGGCCTAGTTGGCCTGCATTTTTCGCCCTCCCCAGGCTCTGGAGGCTGGAAACAGGCCCGTTTCTGGACTTCCGGAACCTTCGATAGGCCCATTTCCCCCCCTCTCCAAGCCTCCAGGCGGGCCCTGCACTTCCTGGCATGATGAACAGGCCGTGTGGAGACTCCTGGGAGGGGTGGCCTCTGCCAGCCAGGGATGTCATTTGTGGGGGTTCGCCAAACTGAGCTCCCATGACTTGTCCCAGCTTCTGCCAACCTAGCAGTTTGAAAGCACATAAATAATGCAAGTAGAAAAATAGGAACCACCTTTGGTGGGAAGGTCACAGCGTTCCAGGCGCCTTCAGTGTTGAGTCATGCCGGCCACATGACCGCGTAGACGTCTTCGGACAGCGTTGGCTCTTCGGCTTTGAAATGGGGATGAGCACCGCCCCCTAGACTCATGAACGACCAGCGCATATGTGCGAGAGGAAGAATTTTCTTCTCTTTTCTTCCCTCCCTTCAGGAGCCCCTTTCTATCCGAGTCAGCCGGTGTATCCGTCGACGCCCATCATAGTGCCTACCCCCCAACAACAGCCGCTCCCACCCACCAAGCGGGAGAAGAAGACGGTAAGCGTTGTCCGCGGGGGCTTCTTCCCATGATTGGAACGGTTGACTGGCCAGGAGGCCGATCTCGGCTGCTGGAGGCAGCGCCCCTGAAGGGGTGGCATCAAGCAGGGCCCGGTTACCTGTCTGCATTTCCGGCAGTTTGATCCTCATCAGGCCAGAGGTTGGCTCCGCCTTCCGTCCTTCCGAGGACCCAGATTGTTAGGGGCGATAGGCTGACTGTGCAAACCGCTTGGAGAGGGCTGTAAAAGCACCATGAAGTGGTATATGTCTATTGTTCAGAAGAACAGAAAACACTTTTTGATGACATAGGGAACAGCAGGGCGTTTAGCTCTTCGGTGGCCCCAGGTGGCATCTGAGGGTGATGAGTCATGGGTTGCGCTGTGGTTACAGTGCAGTACTGCAGGCTCCTTCTGCTGGCTGCCAGCTGCCAGAAGCTTGGCAGTTCGAATCTCACCAGGCTCAAGGTTGACTCAGCCGCCCGTCCTTCGGAGGTGGGTAAATGAGGACCCAGATTGTTGGGGGCCATAGGCTGACTCTGTAAACCACTTAGAGAGGACTGTAAAGCGGTATGTAAATTTGAGTGCTATTGCTACCTCTGCTGCCTGGGCATCTTCTACAGTGTCCAATTGGGTCTGGCTTGGCCTCCCTGTGGGATGATCTGAGTAAAGGGGACTCAGTGGCTTCCTTGTTTTTTTGTTTTTGTGACAGATCCGCATCCGGGATCCGAATCAAGGGGGCAGAGACATAACGGAAGAAATTATGTCTGGCGGAGGGAGCAGGAACCCCACGCCTCCTGCAGTCCGGCCCACCTCTACCCCTACGCCTCCCCAGGTAACCAGCCCCTCCTCCCTCCCCTCCTTTCTCCAGAGGAATCCGCGCTTGGAATGTCTATACAGTAGCTCCTGCTGTGCCTATAGAATAGAATAGAGCAGAATATAGAATAGAATTAGGGAGTAGAATAGAACAGAATATAGAATAGAATAGAATTAGGGAGTAGAATAGAATAGAACATAGAATAGAATAGAATAGAATAGAATAGAATTAGGGAATAGAATAGAGAATAGAATAGAATTAGGGATAGAATAGAATTAGGGATAGAATAGAATTAGGGATTAGAATTCGGAAATAGAATTAGGGAATAGAATAGAATTAGGGAATAGAGTTAGAAAATAGAATAGAATTAGGGAATAGAACAGAATGTAGAATGGAATAGAATTAGGGAGTAGAATAGAATAGAATAGAATTAGGGAGTAGAATAGAACATAGAATAGAATAGAATAGAATTAGGGAATAAAACAGAATAGAGAATAGAATAGAATTAGGGAATAGAATTAGAATAAGGGAATAGAATAGAATTAGGGAATAGAATAGAACAGAATATAAAATATAGAATAGAATAGAATTAGGGATTAGAATAGAATTCTTTATTGACCAAGTGTGATTGGACACACAAGGAATTTGTCTTTGGTGCATGGGGTCTCAGTGTACATAAAGTAAAATAAAATAGAATACATTTGTCAAGAATCATAAGATGCGACACCTAGTGATAGTCATAGGTTACTAATAAGCAATCAAATTATACTAGGAAACAAATAAAACAATATAAATGTTAAAGATACAAGCAACATGGATATAGCCATAAGTGCGAAGAGATAGGTACTAGAAAAGAGACAGGTACTCTACTGTCCTGAAGAGAAAGTGGGTCTCCAGCACAGGTAGTCCTCCACTTACGACCACAACTGAGCTCAAAATTTCTGTTGCCAAGCGAGACAGAATTTTGCTCCATCTTACAACCTGGCCACAGTTGTTAAGTGAATCGCTGCAGCTTTTAAGCTAGTCACACAGTTGTTAAGTGAATCTAGCTCCCCCTCCCCCTGTATTGTCTTTGCTTGTCAGAAGGCCGCCAAAGGGGATCACGTTCCGCCCCTTCCCGGGGACAACCGTCACAAATCTTGAGTCAGTTGCCAAACATCCCAATTTTCATTGTATGGCCATGGGGAACGCTGCCACAAAAGCATGCAAAAAAATGGGGGAGTGCCTGTCATGCGAGCATGCGCGCTGGAGAGGGTCGTGCATTGCATTATCGATGCAGCACACCCACGCACAACTCCCCTGCGGCTCCCCCATTTATGGCACGCAAGCCAAAAAAGGTTCGCCATTGCTGCCCTATCAATTGTGGAGCTGACCGGCGTCAGGGAGCCGCAGCAGAGGGATGAAAGAGCCACATGTGGCTCCAGAGCCACACAGGTTTTGACCCTTGGGCTAGGCCATTTCAAAGAATTGGCCTGTCAGTTGAATTCTGGGAGCTTAGAAGTTTGGCAGGGGGGAGGGTGTTGTTTTCCCCTGACCCAGGATCCTTGGCCCATTGCCCAGGGTGGGGGGGGAGCGTTCGAGACATGCGGAAAGCTGTGCTCTGCTGTCATCGTCAGTGTAGCTGCTGGTAGTAACGTTCTTTCTGTTCCCACCTTTCTCCTGCTGCTTTCCTCTTCTCCCCCTCTCCCCCCCAATGTATATTACGGTTTGTTTGGTTTTTTTTTCCTAATTTTCTTTGTTTTTTTCCTCTCCTCCTTCTTCCGCCCACCTGCTTGCCTGCATTCCCACTTTGCCAGTTTTTAACGTTCGCACGCTCACGATCGCTCTTTTTTTGTACCTCAAATCTCAGCAGCAGCCGCAGCCGCAGCTGCCCAGCCAGGTCCCTGAGCACAACGCTGTGGCCTGCGGGACCGTGGAGAGCTCTCCCCTTCCTGCCAGCAGCCCCATCGCAACGACGGGCAGCCTCAAGCAAGGTGGGTGGATGGATGGACAGCTCGTCCTGGTTGGAGAGAGAGAGGTGGGTCTTGTCCCCCCTCCTCCTCCCCGAGGATCTTTAGGGGTGGAGAAGAGGTTGAGAAACACCCCCCCCAATTCTGCATACTAGAGGGCAGGACGAGATTGGTTGTCTCGAGCCCCATCTGCAAAGACTCGAAAGGATGCAGGGAAGCCGAAATTCCATGACCGTAACCCAGCCTTATTCCTATTGCTCTGCCCTGGCCTCTTTTCAGCACCCAAACCTGTAGGAGAAGCTGCTTGACCCACCCACCTCCCTCACACTCTTGGGAGAGATGGTTTGAGGCACGCCCCCCCCCTCCCTCCCCACACACACACTTCTCTGGTCTTGCCGCAGCCTGGCCCAGTCCTGCTAAGCTGTTCCCAGGGCTGTTTTGTGCTTAGGGACTGGCAGCCTGGCACTCTCAGATGAGGAAAGGAGAGCTGCCAGTCTTCCTGGGCTCTGAGGGAGGGTCCTGACTCCACCTTGGCCATCTGGGGGGAGTGCGGATAGGAAAGGGATTTTTTGTATAGAGGCAATCTAAGACTCGGTTCTCTTGGATTTGTGGTTTGAATTTTATATTCGTTTCTGTCTTGTCGTTATTACTGTACTCACCGCACATGCCCTGTCTCCTCCTGGTAGGGGACGGGTGGTTTATTTATTTTAAAATGCAGTAAGAAAATCTAATCACATAGACGCACATGCTGCGTGCTGCTATCCCCACCCACCAGGACCATTTCCTCATCACATTGTTTGGCTGCCCTGACACCCCCCCCTCCTCTCACACCTCCCCACTGTTGGATCAACCTTCCCTTGCTTAGCGCTTCTCTTCCACTTTTGTCTTTCAAATGTGGGTGGCAATATATCCTGGTTCAGAACGATTGGCTTGCTGGGTTGACTCCAGTCTAAGAGAGACGCAGTGGCTAAGATGCTGAGCTTGTCGATCAGAAGGCCGGCAGTTCGGCTGTTTGAATTCCTAGCGCCGTGTAAAGGAGTGAGCTCTCGTTACTTGTCCCAGCTTCTGTCAACCTAGCAGTTCGAAAGCACGTAAAAAATCCAAGTAGAAAAATAGGAACCACCTTTGGTCGGAAGGGAACAGTGTTCCGTGCGCCTTTGGTGTTGAGTCATGCAGGCCACATGACCACGGAGAAGTCTTTGGACAGTGCTGGCTCTTCGGCTTTGGAACGGAGATGAGCACCACCCCCTAGAGTCGGGAACAGCTAGCACATATGTGCAAGGGGAACCTTTACCTTTAAGTCTAAAGGGAAATGAGAGCTTCAACAGCCCCCCTCCTCATCCTTGGGGTGATCCTCAATCCCGCCCCACTTGGAGGGCTCCTTCAGAACAGCCTTGGCTCCAGAGCAGCAAACTTCCTCCTGCAGAGCTTTGCTTCTGACCCACCCCCACCCCCAAGTCACACAGCTCTCGACAAAGCCACTCCTGCCGTTACCACCTGGCAGCCAAAAGATGGCTGGCTTTGGTTCGTGGTCTCTCCCTTCGGGGGCGTGGCCTGCAGGTGTGCCTGTCATTCTGAGGTCGAAATGAATCGGGGATGGGGGGGGGGCTTTCTGCGGGTTCCCCCATCTTAACGTCAGGGTTCCAAATAGCATCCGAAAGTAAATCCGAGTCCGAGGCAAAGGCTTCCTCAAAGTTCCAATTTATTAAGAGAGCCATATTGGCACATCTGGGAAAGCCCAAATCTGAAAGCTTCCCGGTTTTCCCCACCCGGTTGAAAGTTCAAGATCTTGTCCCCACACCCACCAGTCCATCACATGGTCCAATCTCCCACTGCCACGCTGGCAGTTCCACCCATCCCGTTCCGGCCAGATGCAGAGGTGCAGAGACAAAGGATGACCTTGGCTTTCTAGAAAGAATTTTGTTATGGCTACATGTCATCTAACTCCGTACAACCCCCCCTCCCTTTTTCTCACAATAGAAAATGCATAGTAGAATAATAGAAAGTGTGGCAGGCCAAAGATCCAAAAGAAAGATGGCTGAAGGCCTGACACGTGGGTTGGCAAAGAGGTGAACCAATGGGAGCTTGCAGCTGGTGGGCCTTGGAGAGGGGCGGGGGGAGGCAACATCCGTTCGGTCTGACGGGGCTCGGCTTTTGTAATTCTGCCTTTCTCCTTTTCCCCAGAAGAGAAGCCTAAAACAGATCCAGTATTAAAATCTCCTTCCCCTGCCCTCAGACCAGAGCCGAGTGGAGAGAGGAAAGAACCAGCGGGCCTGACTGCGGAGACCCCCCTCTGCCCAGAGACCTCCTTGGAGCCTCCTGGTCCCGCTGGAGCCCCCTCCCTTGCAGTTGTGCCCCCCAGCAGGTCGCCACTTGCATCGGGCTCGCAGGATGGGTGCGAACTGGCTTCCCCGCCTCAGGAGGCTCCTCCTCCTCTTCCTCCTCCACTTGCCAGGGCTGGGCCCTGCCTGGAATTGCCCAGCTGCCCCCTGGCGGAGGAGGCCGACCCAGAGAGATGTCGGGAGCCCTCTAGGATAGTAGTGCCCAACGACCTGCACCAGACTGCTAGTGCTAATCTAAGTAACGAACTCAACGGAGTTCCCGAAAGGGTAACGCTCAGCGAGAACATCCTGGAACCTGGCGAACCGAAGGAAGCCGTGCCGCCAGCTCTGGAACCCGCGAGTGAAGAAGAAGCAGAGGCCGAATGCGTGCCGCCTGCGGCTTCCGTGGCTCTTCCCGGCTCTCCCTCGCCGCCTCCAAGGCCTCCCCATTCTCCCCTTGCCCTGCCCGTGGCCCTCGCCCCCCATCTTTCCCCGTCTCCTCCCCGCTCGCCTTCCCCTCCTCTCCCGCCGGCTGGTGCTCCTGCCGCCCTCCAGGGGGACTTGGACAGAGAGGAGTCCCCCAAGCTGACTCTGAATGAAGACACTCCCAATGCGAAAGACGAACTGGAGGTGGACGGCCGGACGGAAGAAGAGGAGTTGGAAGAGGACGACGTCCAGGGCTTGAGTGCCAAGATCGACCTGGAAGAAGGTGGGTCAGCATGTGGGCCTTCGCCTTTCCCTTCCCCTCCTGGGTGACTCCTGGGAGAATGGCTGCCGAGCATGGCTCAGTTGCCCCAGCATGGCTTTCTCTGGAGCTCGAGTCAGCTCAAGGCTCTCCCTCACTTTGGGTGTGGGAAATGACCCCTTTTTGATCTTTGCAGCCCCAACCGCTGCAGCTGCACCAAAGACGTGGAAGAAACCAAAAGAACAGAGCCAGGCAGCCGACGAAGGGCTGGAAGCGGCGGAGGAGCCTGAGGTGAGTGGGGAGCAAGCCCCTCTGCGCCTGGTGGGGCAGGATACCCAAAGGTGGGTGATCATCCCCCAAAGACACAATGCTGGATGGGCCTTTCCTGATGCCAGTCTGCTCAACTGGAGTAGGCTTCCTCCCGCCAAGGTAGGGGTCGGCAAGAGCCACAAAGGTCATAACCGGAAGCCCCCCATTCAATTCTGGCTGACCGGAACTCCGGTTTCCCCACCATAGAGTCTCTTCCTAGCGCAGCCTCGTTTTTCCTCTACTTGTCCTAACCGAAAGCCCTATTAACTGTACAGCTGCTCGGCAACGGAGCTGCAGCAGTGGAATGAAAGAGCCATATGCGGCTCCAGAGCCAAGAGATGCTGGCCCATGTACCAAGGGATGATGGATTTGGGGGAGGGGGAGAGAAGAGAGAGGAAGAGCTCGGATCAGTCTGGCCACAGGGTTGGGGGGGGGGGAAATGTGGGACCTGGAATATCGGACCTGGGCGGGGGGCTCCCAGCAACTCCCAGTTCTCTGAGGTGCGGAGTGAGTTTTTGGCTTCCCCCCTTTGTGGAGAGAGGCTGCTGTGCTGCTTGCTGGGCCCCAGAGGGGTTAACTCGGGCCTGGCCCCTCTCTGCTTCAACCTCAGGCAGAAGATTTGCTCGGAGGGGAGAGGATCCCCGAAGCTGAGCAAGAGGCCAGGAGTCTCAACACGGCCTCTCCATCCGACCTGAAAGTAGCCAACGTGACAGAAGAAAATGGCGAGCAGGAGGGAGAGCCTGTCCGCAACGGGGCCGAGGAGGCTCCTGAGAGGGAAGGAGGCTGCACGGAGAGTGCGAGCGAAGCCCCCGCCTGCCAGCAGAAGCCAGGTAGCCTCCATCCTCAGCCTGGTCTCCGAGCTCAGAGAGGGGAACTCCCCAGGCAGCCCCTCCACCGCCTGCAACCTCATGGGAACAGAGAGGGCAGCTCCAGGGGGGGAGAGAGTCTGAGGAATTGATGGCCTGCTTCCTGCAGGACCAGAAGTGAGCTGTGCCTGATAGGCCAGGTGGTTCACTTTCGGGGGTCCGGTCTTGCCATGGTTTCAGAGGGCGAGGAAGAGAAGGGCTGCCTTCCTCTTTTAGAGACACCTGGCCCCCAGGTGCTTTGGCTGCTGCTCCACCCCCACCCCACCCCCACCCCACCCCCACCCCCCCGCGTTCCGGCTCACTTCTGAACAAAATCAGACTTTGGGTGGGCTGCCGTGTGTGTGTGTGTGTGTGTGTGTGTTCGTGTTCTCCCTTTCAGAGGGACCCAGGGGATTCCCAAACAGCCTCATTGCCACCTCCCTCCTTTAGGAACTCAACGATGCGTTAGGTGCATCGTCTCTAGCCTCTTCCCAGGGACACGGTGGCTCAGTGACTAAGAATCTGAGCTTGTTGATCAGAAAAGTCAGCAGTTTGGCAGTTTGAATCCCTAGCGCCGCCTAACGGAGGGAGCTCCTGTTACTTGTCCCAGCTTCTGCCAACCGAGCAGTTCGAAAGCACGTAAAAAATGCAAGTAGACAAATAGGAACCACCTTTGGTGGGAAGGGAACAGCGTTGCGTGTGCCATCAGCGTTTAAGTCGTGCCGGCCACATGACCAAGGAGACGTCTTTGGACAGCGCTGTCTCTTCGGCTTTGAAACTGAGATGAGCACCGTCCCCTAGAGTCAGGAACAACAAGCACGTATGTGCGAGGGGAACCTTCACCTTTAATCATCATTGGGACTTGCCAAAAGATAGCTGTTGTCAGCCGGGTAAGGGAGAGAAAGCCCCTCTGGCACTCTTCTAGATGCTTTGAAAGGGGGACCCCAGGGCAGTCTGGATGGTCTCACTGCCCACTTTGGCCCAGACCTTGCAGCAGCCTCCCTCTGTAGAGAGAGGTGAGCTGGGCTGTGAAGAGCAACATTTCTGCCCTTACAGAACAGTGGAAGCCTGTGGACACCGAAGGGAAGAAGCAGTACGATCGGGACTTCCTGCTGGACTTCCAGTTCATGCCCGCCTGCATCCAGAAGCCAGAGGGGCTACCGCCAATCAGCGACGTCGTCCTCGATAAGGTTAGGAGCCTGTGAGTCAGCTGGGCACTAGAGGAGTGGACCATCCTCACCCCGGGGAAACCAGGAGGGCTGGACCGAAGACCCAGGAGCCCTCTGAGAGAAGGGAGGGAGGGATGGGGGCTCTGCCGGCCCCCTGCCCTGCATAACTCTTTCCCCTTTTTCCGGCCCTTCAGATCAACCAGCCCAAACTGCCTCTTCGGATGTTGGACTCTCGGATCTTGGCCCGGGGCCCAGACTTCACCCCAGCCTTCGCTGATTTTGGAAGACAGGTCCCCAGCGGACGGGGTAGCGCTGTAAGTGAGCTTCACCTCTTGCTTCGGTTTGCCTGCCTTTTGCCGTCCTTCTCTGTGCATGGTCATCCAGTGCACTGGCAGACACAGGCTTTGGATGTTCGGGTCTGCGCTTTGTCTTTCCTTTCCTTCCTTCCTTCCTTCCTTCCCTCCCGCTATCCGTGTCTCCCCCAACACTCTGCTCCGCTCTTTCCTCCCTACCAAAGCTCAGGCCTCCCCAAGTGCCTTCCCCAAGACTCCGGTCCTTCTGCTCCGGTCCTTCTGCTGCCTCTGCTTTCTCTCCTTGGGCCAAAGGCAGCCTGGAAAGCAAGCGGGGAGGGCAGTGCAGAGATCAGCTGGCTATTCAAGGGGCCACAGAATCTTCCCCCCCCCCACCTTTTCCCCCCAAAACTTCTTCCCTGGTGCGGCTGCCCGGGCTGAGTCGCTCCCCTCCTTCCTTCGTTCCTTCAGGCCTGCAAAGTGCAGCCCCCACCCGGACTCCCCTCTGGCACGCGATGTGGCACCCCAGCATGCCCTTTGTTGGTCTCGTCTCACCCGCAGCTGAGGAACCTGCAGATAGGGGTAAGGCTTCTCGCTGCCCCCTCCCCGTCCCCCCACCCTTGGAGCTTTCAGCCTGCCTTTCCTCTCCCCCTCCCTCCTTACCCGGACAGAGGAGCCCTGGCTTACACGACACTGGCCTTGAGCTGCATCAGGGCTGGGGGGGGGGGGGGAAGGTACGTCCCTCGCAGAGGGCATGGTGGACTTTGGGCCTCAGATGGATACACCCTTGGCTGCTCTCCACAGTCCTGGGCACAAGGTGAGTCCTCTTGAGCCCAGTGGCTTCTCCAGCTATCTGTTTGCAGTCCTGAGAGCCATACTGGGGGGCTGGGGGAGGGATCCCCTGCCTGCTGCTCTGTCCCCTTGACCTTGTATGACAATCCAGGGGACAGGCAAGACACTTTGCTTAGGGAAGGCCTGCTCCGTGCCTAGGCAGCAGCCGGCCATGGGCCATCACCACCTGTCTTAGAGCAGCAGCAGCAGCCTTCGCTGCTGGACAGGAGGAAGCTGTGGGCAGGCTGGGCCCACGACCTGATTCTCGGCCACCCCACAGCAAGGGTGAAATCAACTTACCTTCGCTACCGGTTCGCAAATGTGAGCATGCGCAACCTCCACGCATGCGCAGGACCTTCTGCGGATGCACAGAGTGTAAAAAATGGGACATGATGACGTCCAGGTGGGTGGGCAGAGCCTCCTGCTGCTGCTGTGACCGGTTTGCCAGAACCGGATAGAACCAGTCGAATTTTACCCCTGCCCCACAGGCAAGGGACATCATCACTCATCTCTTACTACCGTTTGCTGAGGTTTGCTGACGGAGGGGTGAAATTCAGCAGTTTCTGACAGGTTCTGGAGAATTGGTAGCGGAAGTTTTGAGTACCATATTTTCAGGGTATAAGACACACCTTTTTCCCTCAAAAAAGAGGCTGAAAATCTGGGTGCGTCTTATACACTGAACACAGCATTTTTTGCCTCCCGAAACCCTACCCCCTTCACCAAAAGGCCATGCATAGCCTTTAGGAGACTTTCAGAGTGCTCCCGGGGGCTGGGGAGGACAGAAATGAGCGAAAAATGGGCCATTTTTTGCTCAATTTTATCCCACCCCCCAGCAGCACTCTATAAACCTCCTAAATGCTATTCATATTCTCTTTTTTTGACAAAAAAATGGGCCGCTTTTGGGAGTTCTGCAGAGTGCAAAAACTTTGTTTTTTTTAATTGCCTCTTCAAAATCTTGGTGAGTCATACTCCGAAAAATACGGTAGTTCGGAGAACTGGTAAATTACCACTTCTGGTTGCCCCCAGAGTGAGGTGGGAATGGGGATTTTGCAGTATCCTTCCAGAGAGGCCCTTTCCCAATCAGCAAATGGTGGGAGGAGAGCTGAGCCGCGATGAGCCCACCCTTCCAGTGGGCCAATTTTGCAGGACTCTCTCCCCACCCCCCCTTGCTTCCACAAGAAACACCCGCAGAGTATGACAGCAAGGGGAGGTTCGAAAGCACGTAAAAAATGCAAGTAGAAAAATAGGGACCACCTTTGGTGGGAAAGTCACAGCATTCTGTGCGCCTTCAGTGTTTTAGTCATGCCGGCCACATGACCACGGAGACTTCTTTGGACAGCGCTGGCTCTTCGCCTTTGAAAGGGAGATGAGCACCGCCCCCTAGAGTCAGGAATGACTAGCACATATGTGCGAGAGGAACCTTTACCTTAAGGGAAGGTTACACATTAGCGAGCAGTAGTAGTAATGAAGTGTTTCGCCGAGGCCCTGACTACATGCCCGTGTGAATAAGACTGCTCCCGGTCCGTTTTTTGGTCTCCCAAATCTGGTCAACCTTAACGGATAATCTCCTCGGCAGCGTGCTAGGGAAATTCCTTGTGGTCCTAACGGATCAATCCAGTTGTTTAGAGGCCTTTGCATTGGTGCATAGGCAGATCGTAGTGATGGCTCCGTTCGGCTGCTGCAGTGCTGGTCACGTGTATTCGTTTTGGAGAGCAGCAGGCTTAGCAAGCCAAAGGGGGGAAAAAAGCAGAGGGAAGATTTAGTCCCTTGCTTTCCCGACTGAAGCGGTCCTTCTTCGGCTTGCTGGCGGCTTGGTTTTGTGGCTGGCCGTGAAATGCATATTCCTCTTTTTTTCCCCATGGCTACATATCCTGTGATGACCATTGCTACATTTTAGCTGGGATGTACCGTATTTTTCACAGTATAAGACGCACCTTTTCCTCCCAGAAAAGAGGGTGAAAATCTGGGTACATCTTATATACTGAATGCAGCATTTTTGGCCTAGTGGAACCTTGCCCTCTTTGTAAAAATGGACATGCAGAGGGTTTGGGAGGCTTGCAAAGTGCTCCTGGGGGCTGGGGAGGGCCGTTTTTGCTTGTTTTTGCCCAGCCACCAGAAGCACTGCAAGCCTCCCAAACCCTCTGCATGCCCTTTTTTATTTTTGCAAAAACCGGCCCGTTTTTGTGGAAAATCGCCCTTTTTTGCCCCCCCCAAACCCCCAGGAGCACTCTACAAGTCTCACAAAGCTCTGCATGCCCTTTTTTTATTTTTTTGAAAAAAACGGGGCGTGCAGAGGGTTTGGGAGGCCTGCAGAGTGCAAAACCTTTTTTTTTAAAAAAAAAATTACCCCTTCAAAATCATGGTGCTTCTTATATTCTGGTGCGTCTTATACTCCGAAAAATACAGTATTTTAAAATGCATATGACATCCCCCACCCCCCAAAGCATACAGCATAATAAAAGCAAACGGCGAACCTTTTTCCAGAACAAGGTTGATAAAATTGCAAAAAATTCTCTCGGGAATCCTCCAATGGGTTTGGGTCATTTCAGAAAGAAACAGGTGTGGGGGGGAGTATCCTGCAAAAAGCAGTCAGGGGACAATGTGGCCAGTCAGCCGTGGTGTCGGGATTCCAAGTAATACACCCATAACAAACAGAACTCCGAGGTAGGTAGATGCCTCAAAAAATAGTTTTATTGGATGTATCATATTGGCACAGGCTGGTGAAAACAACTCTGAATGTTCCTGTGGTTTTCATCTAATTAAAAGCAAAAGCTTTTCCTCCCCCTGGCCACCTGTGGGAATGTCCTTGGTTCCCAGGAGAAAGTATTTTGTTTTGGCTATGAAACCCCAGCTATCTCTGTTCACCCGCTCCCTATCCTTCAGCTCCAGTTGCGTCAGCAATGAAGCTTCAAAATGGCTTTGAGCAGGCCAGCTTCAGGGTTGACATGTGGATTGTAAAGATTTCTTTGTGACTGGAGTGCAAGTTGTTTCTGTTGTGGTCTGGCAGCGGCCTGCGGAGCTGGTAGCAGTGTCAGACAGTGAAGAGGTTGGGGAGGAACATGGGCCAGTCCTGGAATCTGGGAAAGGCTCTGATGCGGGTTCTGCATCAGAAGCAGAGAGCGGGCCAAGGCCATCTAGTAGCGATGTGCTGCCTCCAGAGCCTCTGGAGTCTGACATCGAGGGAGAAGAAGCATGTCCCACATGCTGCATGTGATGATGGTTTTTTTTTTTTTTTTTATTTTTTTTTTTTTTTTTTTTTTTTTTTTTT